GGTAACAGCAGCTAAGTTGACCGTGAGAGGAGGGGCAAAATTGCTCGGATTGTAGAGTTCAGGGGCTTATATGCATCAATTAGAGTCTAGGGGCTTAATAGCGATTCTGGGGTTGGTTCAGGGGCTTAACTTATGGTTTTGCCTTTTTCTTTCTCACGAAACACAACAATCCTGGAGCCGGCGTTTCAGACTAACGGTGTGTACCAAACTTTAATGCTTGACCTCAGTTGGATTGGGGTTTAATTCTTATTAATTATTTAAAAAATATCCCTCTTCTTCCATGATTCTTCATGTTAAAAAAAGAGAGAGAAAAAAAACCAATAATCTGGTGAAACAACCCATCTAATCTAAATCGGTTTGATCAAATCGGGTCAGACATGCTGACCCATGACCTGCTTTCATCGGACTGGGAACAACGGGGATAAGTATTAGCTGACGTTTTATCACTTAAAAATTTAAATTTTTATGTTCAACTTGAGTTTTTATGTTAAAAGTTTTAATTTTAAATTATGAGGTAGATAAGAAAGGATTTGAAAAGGGAAATTATTCTTACTGTATGAATTTTTGTGTAGGTTGAAAATTAAACATGCAATACTAGTATGTACTTTATCAGACAAATTCTAGATTTAAGGTCACTATCAGTGCAGTGCTGCCATTTTTGAGTGCTTGCACTGCAAAACCACCTATAGTCGAAATATATGCAAGGGAAGCAGAAAGGAGAATAATTAAACTATGAAACATAGCAATGATTATGGTAGATGATAAATACCGTTCTGAGGAGAGTAACACCATCTTTTTCAGTTCATGTTCCATATTCGAATGCTTCTTGAACCATATCCATCCTTTCTTGTTAAACTGAAGCTATGTACAGCTGCAATCGGAATGTTCAAATTAATCTTTTTAATTTCTTGCGTTTTACTTTCCTTTCCACCAAACTAACAATCAATTATCACTTCAAAGAAAGACAGTTAAAAATCGAACACAATAAATAATGAGGTGAGGAAAAGTTTTTAGCAAAAACAAGCAGAAATTGAAAGAAACCGGCCGGCAGGTAGTTCTAGCAACAACGTAATTTAAATCCCGGCCATCTGGGTATCAGAAGGCAGACTACCATTCATATGAAGTTGGTTACCTGGCTTTTTCTTGATATTCTTGGGAGCGCACGATCTTAAGAAACACAGAAGAAGAAATGATCGAGAAATTGAAATGGTGTTTTTGGGTTTTGAAGGAGACCAAAGAAGAAGATTGGGGATGATGTCCGAGGGACTTAAACAGAAGAAGAAAGAAGTGGGAGTACATGGTTGTGCGTATATGATGGGTGCTGGGCAGAGTTTTCTCGCTCCCTCCGCGTTGCGGGAGAAGTTCTTACCGGTCACTTTCGCACCAAATTCTTGACCATAAGTGGGAAAGCTGTGGGAAACCACGGACTATTCAATGTACATCAACAAAACTGGACACTTTGCAGTTAGGTTGGGCATTTCTTAATTTATTTATTTATTAGAAATAGTATCCAGACATGTTACTTTAAAATAAATTTAAATAACATTATTTAAAAATTATACCACTTTAATTTAAAA